AGAAGTCATCGCTAACCATTGCCTTTATCGGCTATCTCCTGATGGCCGGGAGGACAGATGAAGTCACCCTGATGTCTGCAGCTTGGTGGTCAGAGATGCCCAGGAGGATATCTGTCCCAGACATGTAGGGAGCTTCTGCTAAGCTGCTGAGCTGCTGGGTTTGGTTAAAATGACTAGCTACCGGGCAGGGGAGGTGGAGACCGACAGGAAGACTTTCTATGCCTGTTTTCTTCCTCCTCTTTGTACTAAGATATTTATCCTTCTCTAGGAAGGAGTAACCAGAATCTTGATTTCATTAGCTTAGTAAAAAATTTACAAAGTTTACAAAGTTTGGCCAAACGAAATCACCTGTCATGTGCTATGGTGCTGTAGAACAGGCAAGCCAAGGTGGTGAAGATTCTAAGGATGAGATTAAACCATTCCAATTTAAGATGCTCACTTGCCCGCCCAGAGCCCAGTCATGCTTCTGTGACACAGATACAACCCCAGGGGGCACAAGTGGACAAATTTGCACCAAGATGCATGAAGCTTTCCAAATAGACTCAGCTTATTAGTAGGCTTGTTTTCTGCAAGGAGTATGGGACCTGTGGGGTGAGCCATTTGGGCTAAGAAGGAGGGAGGTAGAGTTAGGAGATGGGGTGATTTCATCTAAAAAGCCCAAAGAGAAGCCCCATCTTCCTGCTTCCTGGGGTGCCAGAGCCAGGAAGAGCAGGTTCTGTGTGCCTCCTCTCCTAGCTCTGCATTCAGTGGCTTGAAATAATCCATGCTGGAAGTATTAAGATCAGAGAACTTGACAAATGATACAGATCAGAACTTTTTTGGTGCAGATTCACTTGTCAAGCATTTATCAGCACAACCCTGGCTTGCCTTCAGGTTCATGTACCCCAAATCACAATCCAAGTCCATTCCCCAGGATCACCTTACAGCCCATCTGACAACATCACCCTCTGATTCAGTTTTTTAAAGATAAATTTCCTGCTCCCTCTGACTTTTTAATCACTGCTACCCCCCCCCCATGATGCTCAAACTCCAGCTGTTCTGAATAAGACTTAAAAAATAGACAACAACTGTACCCACCTCTGGCCCAAGTTGGTTAGGGTTAGCCTTCCTGCTGTGATGATGGCTAGGCAAAATTTTAAAAGATCCAAAGACATCTAAGAAAAGTCAAGGGTTGGAAAAATTGCAAAAGGCCTGGGAATTGGGCTTTGGGATTCTTTACTTCTGGGAGTATTTGCTGGTCTCAAAGTCTATAACTGAGCTCTGGACAGGGTCAAGGCACTTGGGGGTGGGAGAGGATCTATATTCTGCTGAGGGGGAGATATTGCTTTAAACACTGTGGTTTGGGGTTGGGACTAAGGATGATTAGCAGTGAACCTGAACTGGTTACTGAGCCCAGGTCATCTCAGTCCCTGTGTGGGGAAGGTCACGTGGGCTGTTCTGCTCTCAGCCTCTCTGCTCAGCAGAAGCAATGTTGTTTCTGGATAAACAACAAGAACCTGGAGTGAGTTCTATAGCTTTTGCTAGACAGCTTACAAAGGTCAAGAAAAGTAGCCAGACATATCTATGTGTATGGGAGACAACCAGACCAACAGCGGACAATGGATGGAGACCCAGTGGGCTTAATGATGGCATCATCGAGGACAGCCTGCATAAGGAATACGAACAACATGGTCAAGGATTTAAAAGACAAAATGGAAGCATTGGCAGAGAACTAGAAACTATACAAACAAGGAACCAAGTGGAGATGTTAGAATTGAAAGATGCAATAAAATGAACTTGACTGAACTGAAATTGAGAAATAATAACATTTATCAAGCACCTCCTAGGTGGCCGGCCCCGTGCCTAACACTTTGTGGGCATCGATAGTGGCTGCTTTTTGGGTAGAGACATCATCTGGTTCTTCTAGTTGCCTCTATGGGGAAATTAGTCATGAGTGTTGTGCCAAGGCCTAGTAAGACAGACTGAGCACGTGGACGGCACTAGACTCCATCTTGGTGCCCGCAGCTCAGAGGGAAGCATAGCAGCGAGAGGGAAGCATAGCAGCGAGCAGAGCAGAGTCCACTCTGAGTTGTGGTCCTTACACTTAATCCAGGAAGAGAGCAGGACTGGGCTGAGTGTCCAGAACTGAAAATAAATTTAGTCAGAGATTTTCTGTGATCAGAAATACCAGAGACACCAACTGATTTTTTTTTAAGATTTATTTATTTATGCATACAGAAATGGGGTACAGGTCAGAGGTGCAGGGGTGGTGAGAGGCTTCACCAGAGACAGAGTGGGAAGCAGAACAGGCAGTTTGACTAAGTACACTGCTGAGGGAAGCAGCGGGTGGGTCAGGAGAAGTCTGCGCCGCCATGTGGGTCACCTCTGGGACTGGGGATCGAACTCTCACTGAAGCAGCAGTGGCCAGCTTGCAGTGCTGCGCCCTAACCTGTTGCGCCACTAGAGAGGGCCCCCAACTGATTTTTTAATAGAAGATTAACATTGGAATTGTGGGCAGAAGTGTGAGGGCAGGCAAGGAACTTGTGCTCCTTTTTCTGCCTCCCCCCAATTAGAAGGGTGTGAGGGTCTCTCTCTGGAGTCAGGCAGATTTGGGAGGGGCCAGGAGTGCAGGGTGGAGAGGTTGAGGGCTCTGTGATCATCTCTTTGCTTCACCTGAGGTAAAGAAGTGGATGCAATAGTTGTTTATCATTCAAATGTTCCCTGTGCCAAGGTCAGGGCTAAGTACATTGTGTGCAGTGTCTCAGTCCTCATAGCCACCATGACGAGGCTTCTATTCTTAGCCCATCTTGCAGGTAATGAAACCGCGACAGAGCTTCAGCACATTGTATGACGTGGTGCAGCTGGTCAATGACAGAGGATTCAGCCCCGAGCCTGTCTGGCTTCACAGATGGGTCCCAGGGGCTCCCTTAGCTGGAGGTCATTGTGTGTGTGTGTGGGGGGGGACTTCTTAGGACTTCATACCCATGGGAAGGGTGGGGAGCTCAGCTTTTCTTCTCTCTATGAGATATCTGCCACTGAATTGGGTTGGCACAGAGAAATTTGCCCAGGACCACGGTATGGGTGGGTCCTAGGCTTGAACACAGTCTAAGGGTGGCAGTCAGGACAGAGCTGCTCAGATGCGTGTGGGGAAGTCTCTTCAATCTTCAGAGACATCTTTTGAGGGTGTTGATTTAACCACTGTTACTTAGAGGTAACAGAAGAAACACAGTAGGAAATTGCTTATCACAGTGGGGTGCAAGCTGCCCTCTCTTTGAGCAGGCATGAGTTATCACCTGATGACTCATAAATATTTCTGAAATTATAAACCTTAATTTAGCAAATACTGAAGTGACAAATAACCAAGGATGTTCTTAACTCCCTTAGTGAGTCTCCAATAGAAACAAAATGCCCCTTGGGTCTTCTCTAGGTAGATGGATGCTATTTCTCGTAACCGGTTCAGAGTCTCTCTCAAGGTCACACAGCTGTGAGAAGGCATCAGGAAGACCTATATGCCATTATGCTTCTGGAAACAAACACCCAGGGGGGTGACGCAATTTTTGCACAAAAGTTCCATTTGCTCTGAATGTGGGGCACCTTTGATTTGAAAGTTTGTTGGTAACTTGCCTCTTCGAAGGACTTTATTCTCATTTGGACACAGACTCTGTTTCATTTTCTGAAAATAAAGTCAGTCTCCCTAGAATCTGTGGCTGCAGCTGGGTGGCCCCCTGAGCTGGGACTCAGATCTGGATTTCTGAGTGTGCCTTTGTCATTAACAAGCTGTGTGACCTCAGACAGGTCCTTTCCCTTCTGGAAAGGTCTTTTCAAGGTCTTTTTCAAAACCATGATAAGGTGGAGCAGGGTGATTGGGGAGCTCCCATCCAGTTGTAAAGTGCTACAATCTATGCATCTGTACTAACCTGATAGATGCTACTGTGTAGATGGCATAGATGCTCTCTTCATCTTTTTTTCTGTGCATAAAGGGGAGTGTGCTAACCTTTTCCTTAACTGCCTAGAATGTAGTAAGTAAGGAGGTTAATGTTCACAAACGGTCATTGTGGGCCAGAGCTTAGCCCTCCTCCCCTCCCTCGCTGACCCCCTCCCTCCTTCCCTCTGTGAGGAAGACACGCGACCTCATTCTGAGCATGGGAGACAGAGACAAAAATTCATACATGTGAAATGACATCAAGGTCACGTAGGTGGCAGCTGGTGGAGGAGGAACGTGGGCCCATTTCTGTCCAAATGCTGAGTTCACCCCCTTTCCTGAGCCCTTATCTCTTTAGATGTGGACAGCATATTAGAAGTGGTTTGAAGCACCTCTTAGGAAACATTCACTTAAGAGCAGGCATCAGCAAACTTGAGACACATGTGGCCACCGTGTGTTTTTGTCAAGAAAGTTGTGCTGAGACACAGTGATGGGCACTTCGTGATGGTTACAGGTCATCTGGGACCACTCTGAAGCCACACCAGGGGACTTCAATAATCACAACAGGGACCAGATGACCTACAAACCCCAAAATATTTGCTGTCTAGTGATTTACATACTGTTTACCAGTCCTGGTCCAGAGTCCGGCGAGGCTGTCCTTCCTCCGGGGAATACGAGGTGACACAACATGGTCCCCCAAGCTGGGGACCCTACCTCTTGGCTGTATTAGGATGGGGGACATTTCTGAACAAATCTGTCTTTGGAAAGGCAACGGGGTTAGGGCACCTGCCAGTCAGGCAAAAGACTTTGGTTTTCACTGTCTTCCTCCCAGGAACTCAGTGAAGGGGAAATAGCGATCTTTATTTTGGGGAAATTACACAGGAGAGAGGAGGAGGGGACCAGTTACGACATCCCATTGCGACACTCAGCGGGGCTGAGAGTGACAACAGCAGGGTTTCTGTTTTGGAAATGTGAGTGCGTTTCCGTTCTAAACTTGGGGAAGGGCGACAAAGGCGGGCTTGGTGAGTGACCATTTTCTTTATAAGTCGCTCTTCTGGGCCCGAAATGGCAGTCTCCATTGTCTTGCTGAGGCCCCAGGATGGAAATCCACAGGTGCACTGTGGTGCACAGCTGCTTAATCTCTCTTCTCCTTTTCCTGTTCCACTCAGAGACAGGCTGCCATCCCTCCAGGAAGAGACCCTGCAAGATGCAAGCTTTCAGGTAAGGCGGACCCCGGGCAACGGGGGTTGGAGGTGAAGATCTGTCCCTGTCGCTGTCTGGTGCTGCCACTGTAGATTTGGGCTGGAAGGGGATGGCCGACACTCAGTGAAGAGACTGTCACAGGTGTGGTCTTCAGGGCTTCTATTTCAAAATATCCTAGAGTTCCAAAACTTGGTGAGAAGCTTGACTGACTTCCCCAGTGACTCTGCAGCTTAGCATGTAGCAATCACCTGCCAAGTAGGTGTGCTGGAACCTGGGCCGGCCTGAGAGGTGGGCAGAGAAGCAGAGAGGGGCACCCCCCGTGGGCAGGAGGTGACCCACAATCCCAGGCTGGTGGTTCGGAAGTGTCTGTGTTGGTCCCTTGAGGCTCTAACTCCCTGAGGCCTCCATTACCTTCTGGGGTCCTTGTGAAGATCCAGGGCACCAATAATGATGTAACAGAGTTCTGTCAAGTGCCTGAAAACAACTGTAATTTTTAAAAGCTGGACCAAGAGTTTCGTGAGAGGTCACCATCGCTGTTGTAAAAATGACAGGCTGTAATGTTGTTAAAACAGTGTTGTCTATGTGTTCCCACTATTCTGTGATATTCTAGGAATGTAGTAAGTTGGGTAGCTTCAAAGTCTCTGGCCTGAGGCTGCAGGCTGGGATGCTGCGTGCCTCCGTGTTTACCACGTGTGTGTATGTGTGTGAGTGTTACATTTACCCCGGTCAAGTCCTTGCTCTTCCCTGACTTCATAAGGTTTGTCCCTTCCTCTTCCTATCAGTCAGGAGATGCTCCCAGTCTTGAGGTAAGGATATCTAATCCCTTCAGATGGAAATTCACCCAGGAATGGAATAATCACAAAAGGTCAATCGCTCACTGGTGCAAACAACTTCAGTTTGCTTGACCACCCCTCTCTGAGTGCAAGAACTCACCAAAGCCACCTGATGTGGTGGGTGTCCTTAGCCATGTCGCACAGGTGAGGGCATGAGGTGCCGGGCCAACGTCATGCTGGTGGGTGGCAGTGTGGAGGGCCTGCATCCCGGCTGGGGCTGTACGCACCCTGTCTCAGAGCTTTGAGACTGCTTTCAGCCTGAGGGTTTCTTCTCCAAGAAGAAAAGACTGGTTGCAGAAATAGGCCACTGGGCGATGGAAGAACGCTCTGGGACAGACCCACAGACAAAGGCCCCCTCAGCGACAGGGTCCTCTGTCCTTGAAAATTCCAGGGCTGTTTGTGGTGCCCACTGGTTTCAGATGACTTTTGAAATTTCTATTTAAGCTAATAAAAACAGAATACAGTTACAATTCAGATCCTCGATGTCCCACATTCCAGAGTTCAATAGCAACATGTGGTTGGGAGCTAGCATATTGGAAGTGCAGGTATAGAATAGTTTTGTATCCTAGAGAATTCATTGGATGGTGCTACTCTAGAACATGCTTTGCTCAAGGAGAAGGTGCCTGTCCTAGGAATCTGAGGACGAGGAACGAGGACAAGAGAAGGGTAGGAGTTCATGCAACAGGCTGTGGTGGGAATTGCGCCTTCTCATATCTGCTGTTGACCTCCGTCTCCTCATCCATGCCAATGATGTTCTAAAACACCACACCCCTGGGAGAAAGCTGGATGCAGATTCAGCAAACTCCCAGGGCGAGAGGAAGAGGCGAGACATGGGGCTGGGCACACAGCTCCCTAAAGTGGGGTCCTTTTGCTTAATAGAATCTGGGATGTCAACCAGAAGATTTTCTACCTGAGGAATGACCAACTAGTCGCTGGATATTTGCAAGGCCCGAATACTAAACTGGAAGGTGAGTGGGGTCCAGGAAAGCTGGTTCTGTGTGGGCACCTTGCCCAAAGCCCTGCGGCACTGTGAGTGCCTGGAAACCTCACGATGCTCTAACCCTCACTGGTCTCTGTAGCTGAGTTTGAAGCAGAGGAGGCTTGGTCTCAGGAGGTGAGGAGGGAAATCCTAGGACAGGAGCTACCTCTACAGGTACAGTGGCCCTAGGCCACGGCTGAGGGGGCAGGTTCTACCTCTGCCAGTCTCCTAATAAGCCCCTTTGTTCCTGTGTTGTTCAAGTGCTAAGTCTTCATTCAAAATGAATCAGCCATATGGAAGACTGTTACGGGCCACTGTCGTCAACACCACAGTCATGTTCTGGAACGTGCTCTAACAGGCTGCATGGGCATGCTTTCTCCTGCGTTCCTCATTTTTCCCTTAGTAAGATGAGGGCAGGTGGATGACACGGTGCGAGATTTTTTGCCAGCACTTGCCTTCAAGGGTATTTCCATGTCCCTGTGCTGGCTGGGTGTTTGGACAGGCATCATCGCCACCTCCCCGCCTTTCCCACCCTCATCTTCTTTCCCTCCACTTCACCCTGAAAGAGTGTGAGACCTGCCTTTCTACTGAAACATGAAGGCACAGAGAAGCTGAGCTCGTCAAGGCTGCATGAGGGCACAGGTAGCTGAGGTCAGAGGCAGGTTCCATGTGACCCAGGTGCCTTGGACTAAGCCACAGGCACCCACACATGACCTCGTGTGCTTTTTTCTATCTATGAGCAGCATGTTTGTTGACTGGAGTCCACCATGCTAGCGAAGCAGCAAGGGTAGAGATCGCAGGGGACAGAATCTGGACGACTTGGTCCTTGAGCAGTCACAAGACAGTGCTTACTATGACCCTCTGGATGCAGACCATGAAGATGGTGCTTGACTGTCCTTTTGACCTTGGGGTTTTAGTGGGGTAGGGGAGAAGAAAAATCCCTATCGTGTGTCCTGTTTTTTCTGTCTCTGCCTCCTCTTCTTTACACCTGACGCATCTCCCTGCCCTTCCCCAGAGAAGCTAGACGTGGTGCCCATTGAGCCACACGCTGTGTTCCTGGGGATCCACGGAGGGAAGCTGTGCCTGGCTTGTGTCAAGTCTGGTGATGAGATCAGGCTCCAGTTGGAGGTAGGAACCTGCCTCAGGTAATGACCACCACTGGTGGCTTGAAACACAGTAATATGCCCTTTCTCATCATGCTGTTGCTGGCGAGGGTCAGCTGGACACGCCCACTCTGTCCTGCAGTGTGGCTGGGCTCACTCCTGCAGCCGTGTGCAGCCGAGCGCTCAGCCATCTCCCATGGCCTCTCAGGCTTTACTCGTCCGCTGAGCTTCCATACAATGTGGCTGCTGGCTTTCAAGAAAAACAATTCCAAAAAGAAAAGCCTCAATGTGCAAACACTTGCTTGGCCTTTACTTGCATCCTACCCCTAATGTCCCTGTGTGACCTAAGCTGGACACATGGCTAAGTCCAGCTTCAGTTGGGAGGGGGTGTGGGGTGCTGCATAGGGTGTGAACCCAGGGGCTATTACTCATCCAGGGAAATAAATCACAGCACATCACTCTCCCTAGGGCCCCAACCCTCTCCCAGTAACTTCAGAATCTTCCAATCCTATTGACTCAAACCCAGGAGTTGGCAACCTGCTCAGGCCTGGTCCTCCCTGAGGGCAACATTAATAGTCTCAGAGGCTTGTTGATCAAGCTCTTAACTCAAATTTGAGTGGCCATAACTATGACACTGTCACTTCCTTCCCCAGAGGATGGGACACTTTCTGGAGGATGACTGGTCTCTGTTGTAGGGATGGCAGGATACTGGACGTCACACCTTGAGTGGCCGTGACACTCTGCCACTGTCTCTTCCACCCTCTCCTCAGAGCAAGACCCCACAGTGCAGCAGCCCCCAGAGGCCTTGGGTTTTGCTGATGGTGTGAGGCGTTTAATAACCTTTTGTGTTCCTGGTCAGACTGGCCAGATTTTCCCAACTTGAAAGTGATGACAGGACAGATTCTTTGGGTCATCACTGTCTTAGGAGACGGGGATGTTGTGGGCTCATGTGGAGTCTCCAAATCAGTGTTTCTGCAGGATGACTCGGGCCTGCCTGGGGCTCAAAGCCTGGTGTGGGATAGCAAGAACCTTTCAGCTCCTCAGCTGTTACATGCGTATTTCTTGGCTTCCAGAAAGTTAACATCACTGACCTGAGTGAGAACAAGGAGCAGGACAAGCGCTTCACCTTCATCCGCTCAGACAGTGGCCCCACCACCAGCTTCGAGTCGGCTGCCTGCCCCGGCTGGTACCTCTGCACCGCCCTGGAGGCCGACCGTCCCGTCAGCCTCACCAACACTCCTGAGGAGTCTGTCATGGTCACCAAGTTCTACTTCCAGCAGGACTAGTCTGCGGTCGTGCCCCTTCTCCATTCACAGCCCATCGATGACTCCAGATACTGCCTTTTCACCCCTGCCGGGTGTCTCCTGCTCTCTCCTGGGCTCTGAGGATCAGCTTTGGGACAGCGGACACTCAGGAGGCAGTACAGAGCCCTAGAAACAGGACTCTGTCTCCAGCCTTCTTGTTAGCCCAGCTCCACGCCGTCTCCACAATGGCTATCTAAAGTGCAAACTGAATCATGGTGCTGCTCAAAAGGTTTTGCTGCCACCTGTACCTTCCAGATGAAATCCAAGCTTCCAGGCTTCCCCCCTCCCCCCAGGTCCCTGCTTCAGGACCCTAGGCTTCTTGCTGACCTCTTGCCAAGTGACTCCCAGACCTTACTTTGCAAACAGATGCTGCTCCCTGGGGAAGTTTTTAGAATCTGTGGCAAACTATACAAATACGGTTTTCACAATATTTTACAAATGAAGCCAACTTTATTCATTTGAAGCAAAGTCCTTTATTTGGAGGTCATATCCTTTCTGGAAAGGAATGAAAGAGGAAAATATTACTGTGTTTGTGAACTGATCGTAAAACTACTTCTCCCTTTTTGATTTTTATTGCTATAGTGGCCAAACCTGTAAAAATTAAGTTGGCTGTTTTGTTGGTCCACTATTTTTTTTCCCTCCAAAATATTCCTGTCAGGCTGGCCCCATGGTCCAGTTCCCAAGTGCCATCACTACCCCATCCCTTTCACGTTGCTGGCAGGTCTCTCTCCAATGGCCTCCCATGAGAAGTTCCTGCATCCCAAGGCATGGCACAGATGTGGCCCCAGAGACTTTTCTCCTCTCCTTCAGGAGGGATGAGTTGCTCCTTGACTTTTTAAGCACTTCTGATACTCTGAATATTTGCTTGTCTCTGTCCTTCTGTCTCCTGTATCAGACCCTGAGCTGCTGAGAGCAGGCAGCATAAGGGTCTAAGTTTCCTGCTGGGCTGAGCACGTGGCTTGGCCTCAGCAGGTACTCAGTGAATGTCTGTTCTCTGTGTTGAATGGGAGGTTTCCTCCCACTGTGACTTAAGCTCTGTTTTACAATAAAACTTTAAAAACCCAACTACTTGCAGATGACTGGATTAAAAAGATGTGGCACATTTGCACAATGGAATATTACTAAGCAGTCAAAAAGATAAACGCATGCCTTTTGCAGCAACACAGATGGAGCTGGAAGGGATCATGTTTAGTGAAATAAACCAGAAAGAAAAGGAAAAATACCTGATGGCTTCACTCATAGCAGGAGCATAAAGGACTGGTGTGTTTGTGTGTGTGTGTGGGGATAATAATGAACAATTATATACCAGAGACACTTTACGGGGAGTGGAGTGGGGAATGGGATCAAAAATGGTGGGGTGGGGAAATGCACATGATTATGGTAATAGCACACGTGTGATTTGGAGATGGGAAGTCCACGGGATTACAACTGAGATGGGAAAAGGCACAAAATGATGTAAAAATAAACTATTAGAATAATTTAAAAAGTTAAGGATAAGTTAAAAAAAAACAAACAAACATGTACTCATATTGCCTCAAGTGCTTGGGGCATAGAGTAATGGGAAGTGGGGAGGCCAGGTAACATTTCCTATTCCAGGGTCATGCCTGGCTGACTTTCACTGAGAGTCCTTTTCCTCTTTGGGTCTCACTCCCCCTGGGTAGGTAACATGAGAGCAAGTCTCTTTGACAGGAAGATATGTAGCACCATCATCCACAATGGTTCCAAAGGGAAACAACCCAAATGCCCATCACAAAAGAATGCATACATAAATTGCTTGTGTTTATACAACACAACATTTGACAGGGAATGAATGAACCACAGTTGACTGTGCTCAACAAAATGAATGAATCTTACAAGTATGGCAGGGTACAAGAATCATGCATAGAACATAAGTCTATTTGCATAAAGCTCGAAATAGACCAACTCCAACGGTTGCGTGGAACAATGCAAAGTCGGATGGGGCAAACACAGAGAAGCAAGGGCATGCTCCCTGCCTGGGTGCTGGCCTGCTCCTGGGAGGTGGACGGTCCCGACAACATTCTATTTCTTGGCATGGGTGACAATATTTTGGTCATATTTCATATGCTGAGCTGTCTGCAAAACAAAAAAATTACCACTCTGGAGTGCGAGGAAAGGGGTATGTGGCTAATGATGAGAATTTTAAGTGCAATGTTGGATTTGGCCCCTGAGGTGGGAGCGCAAGACTGTGAGAAGGGAAGGCTTCTCAGGCATTGTTCAGACAACCCAGGCAGGTTCCCCCTGGCCAAGCTCCATTCACCTCAGGACATGGCCGCAAGTATCCTAGAGGAGGCTCCAGCCACAATATGATGGAATAGGAAGGTTTGAAAAATTGTGCTCCCCTAAATACAACTAAAAGGAAAAACTCAACTAAAATCTGCTCACCGGGATTCTGAAATTCCTATTGCCAGAGATAGGGGATTTTCTCATGGAGATTCCACACTGAGGTTGGTAGCCTGCTGTGGGGTCAGAGTGGGAGGATACAAAAGAAGTGGTATTTCAGTCACAAAAAAGGCTAGGTTCGCACATGGATTGGGAATCTTTCGAGTGAGTTTTTCCGCGAAGAGGTCGTACAAACGGGTGGTGCCTACTCAGGAACTCATGGCTCGGGAGCTACAGCCAGCTGCCTGCAAGGACAGATGAGTGCTCAGTGCCCCTCCCAGTCAGAAAAAGCCATACAGTAACCTGCCCTACAGCTCCAGTCAGCCACCAAACTAAACAAAAAAGAGAAACAATCACCCCACCCAGAAAAATGTGAGTGAGCAACACATGTGGCCAGGAAGCAAGGATCTCCTCACACAAGAGGGAAAAGAATAGAAGGGATGAAGGAACAGAATAGAAACCCAGAGAATTAGGTGAAAGACACAAACTAGCAGATCTACCAGAAATATTTTATGATAGCATTACAAAAAAAAAAAAAAACTAGAAGGGCAATCAAACACAGAAAGGCAGATGCAGAACCTTGGACAAGATCCATGAACAAAAGAGATTAAAGACACTGAAGATAAGGTGAGATGACAGGTGAAATACTGTGTTGACCAAGCTTCCCTGTGATACACAGGCACCTGGGAGGAAGCTTAAGCCAGAAGACTCCTCAGGGCTTTGCTGTAAGAAGAGCGTGAGGCTCTATAGCCATTCTGTAAGCCTCGGCTTCTGGACGGTGGAAACAGAGGTCCAGACCCGGAGCTTTGTGTGATCCTACAAAACAGTGGCTATAAGTTAGAGCCCTACTGTGAGCTCCCGGATGCTGGAGCCACTTGCCAGCTCCTCTGTCTGCCATGTGTGCTCATGAGTGACTCAGTCAAAGTCCTGGAGACTCAGTTTCCTCTGAATTAGATGCTGGCCAGTGCAGAGGACTGAGTCATCTCTAGTCTTTGCCATCACCTCCTGTGGTTGGGGCTTATATTGCTATCACCGTTAGTTCCAGCAGCGCAAGTGCTCAAGGAATCTGCTTTAAAGCATCGCTGCCCAAGTGGGTCCAGCAGATCCGTGGCCTCAGTACCGTTTGGGAGTTCACGTGCAGAATCCCAGGCCTCGTGCACACCTAGTCTCGGGGTCTTTATCTGAGCCATATGGATGCGGGTGAAAGATGGAGAAGTTCTTGCTGAGGACTCAGCAGGGCTCAGACCGGCATGCTTGGAGACTGACCCTCGTAACCAGCACCCCACCGGTGTCCTCGCTGTCTCTCCCACTAGCCCTCTGATGATGCCAGAAACTCCCTGGCACCTTTCTCCTTTGGCTTCACGTGTTTTGTAAGAGAGACAAAACTAAGTGTTTTCACTCACCTCGCGAGAATGTCACCCCACACATGCCGTGAAGCTCATCTCCTGTGTCACGACGTGTCACTGTGCTAGGCGTTCACTGAAGACTTGGCAAATGAATAAAATGGCAAATGGTGGGTCCATAGCGATTATGTAGCACGTGGTCAGGAGATCTGAGAAGACAGGGACGTTTTGGAGGACAACTCGGGGAAGTCTGGGAGTGTAGCAGGTTCCCGGGATCCAAAGCCTCATCAGAGACAAAGATGCCACCACCAGGTGGCAGCAGCACTCAAGCTTTACTGGGGGACACTTTGAGAGCTGGGCTTTTAAGGAGGCCCCTCTCAGTGGAAGTCTGTCTGGCGGCTTCTCCACTCCGCCCTGGGTTAGTACTTAGAAAGGAGATGAGGGGAGAGGAGAAGGGGGCCCGTGGGGAGAGGGCATAGGACCGGCAGGGCTCTTGGACTCTGGGTCAGACTGCTAGAAAGGACAGTAGCAGCCTGGGGTCTTTATGGCCTGAGGCTTATTTGTGGCTAGCAGATGTTCATGGGGTTGCAAAACAGGAAGGGTTAGAGATCCTTGGGCAATCATTGGGTAATGTTTAAAACAATTGGATGTGGAAACATGTGCCTTTGGCACTGGGTGGGCTTTGGAGCTAACAGGTCTCTGCCTGCTGTGCAGAAAGTAACATCTTGGGGCCATAATGCAGAGACGACATTTGGCTCATTTATATAGCACAGGCCCTGTGATGTGCTCAGGAAAAGCAGGTCTGGGCTACATGTCCAAGTGAGAATTTTGTGCAATTAGGAGGCAGGCAAGGGGGGGTCTGGGGGACAGGGGAGCTTCAGGCATCTGTGACTACTGGATCTGACTACACGATAAGATCCCTGAATTGCAGAACAGCTAATTAGAAAATTCCAAACTGAATAGACAAGATGTTCAAGTTCTAGTCAGGTCTCCCTACTAACTGGCAGGGTCATCTTGGTCAAGCAACCTTCCCTCTTTAGGCTTCAATATTCTCACTTAAGAAAGGAAGAGATTAAAGCAACAATAAGTAAAAATAAGCAAGTGGAAATATGTCAAAACGAGACGCTTCTGCACAACAAAGGAAATCAATGAAAAATGAAGAGGCAACCTACCGAAGGGAGAAGATATTTTCAAGTTGCATATGGTAAGGGGTTAATATCCAAAATATGTAAAGAACACATGCAACTCAATAATACAAAATAATGATTCAATTAAAAAGTGGGTAGGGGTGTGGTCCTTAGGGCTGTGACTCCAGGGCAGAGCAGGAAGGAAACTAGCTGAGCTGGGGGCTTTACGTTGAGGCCACGCAGCTGCCGGCCCCTCCCTGCCTGTTGTTCTGTCTGTCCACCCACAGCTTGAGTGTCCTGCTCACCTACAGCAGGTCTGCACGGGGTCCCATGACATCAAGACCCAGCAGAGCAAGGTGACCAGCATCCTGGGTAGAAAACACTCCCCACCAGCTGGTGGGCCATTCTCAGGACAGGCCCTTGCGGGGCCAGGGAGATGTGAGCCCCTGGCAGCCAGGCCTACACTCACCCCACCCTGGATGGCTCACAGGCTCTTCATGGAGGCTGTGGAACAGCAGCGCTGCAACAGTTTCTGAAACTGTGCCAAAGGCCCCAGAATCCCTGTTTTGGAAGCATCGAGGTCACTTACTCCCAATTGCTCCCTCAGCGTGAAGCCCTGCCTGCTGACAGCGTCTATAAATGCAAAGGAGGGAGCTAAGCCTTAACTTCAGAGAAAGGTTGCTTGCCAACTCAGTCGTTTATTTTGACTATATTTTAATTTGAGCCGAAGGTAGAAGGTTTTCTACTTTGTCAGTCACAGAGTTAGTTAGTTGAGATATACTTCAAGTTCACTTTTTATTGACATGTATGATGCCGTCCTAGTAGGTGTTCTGTTGGGGGGAAATTCTTACTGTGGTTCCTCTTCATGTAACTATTAAGTCTCTAAATCCTAGTGGCAAATATCAACATGCTTGGCATTCAACCCAGCTCTCAGAAAAGTTAAGAGAGTGAGTGAAACAAGTTTAACTAGAGGGAAATTGAGCTTTCAGAGAGGACTCCTGCCTTTTTGCTGCATTATGTGAAAAAGCAATTCAATAGATGTCCACCAGGGGTCAGCGTTTTCTTGACGCTCATCCTGCCTTTCATTGCTGTTCTGGAAAAAAAAAAACAACAGAAGACAAAAGAACTATTGATAATTCATTTTATATGCTCAGATTGTTGAAGCTTCAGTCTTTTAAAGATTTGCT